GCTGCTGCTGCTGCTGCTGCTGCTGCTGCTGCTGCTGCTGCTGCTGCTGCAAGTTGTCAGAGGTTGTGTGATTACCTTTTTGTGCACACATGCATTCCCCTTGTTGTCAACTGATTAAGTTAGATGTGGGCGGGAGGGGGGCGGAACAAGGTTCAATGAGTGACGTAGAGTGCTAGTTCTATTGGCGATACTGAATCCTTTCTGCAGTGCGTTTCACACCCAGTAGGGCTTTTTGGTTGTGCTGTTTGTACTATTTTGGTGAATTATTGTACCCGTTGATTATAAAGAGAAATAAATTGCCGCTGGGGGTAAGTTTTTCCGCATGTAAATTGAGGGTGTGCGCGGTGCTTGGCGCCGAGGACTATATTAATCTTACTCCAGAAGGGTAAGTTTGACCTCGAATAAGTTGAAGTAGACGACCTCCTAACCACCATTTATATTGTTTCGGGAATTTCGATAAACTTACATTTTTATAATCGGATTTTTCCACAATACTTTCAACGATAATGTAGATTAGGAAAATCTACGGATATAGATTAACGACGTTTATAAATACAATAAAATAAAATGCACGTGGTAGTTATTAAAGTATATTCCACCGACTATCCTAATTTGCCACTCTTAAAAGCCCTATAACCACCGTTTCAATGGGACAAAATGCTGGGACTAGGGGTACAGGAGGTGTACTCCTTAAATTACTGTTGTCCAAAATTGCAAACGTATACCCGTAGAGAGAGAGAATACAAGAAAAACTCGAAACGGCACTAACATGTGAGAATTCTGAGATATCACTTTTCTTCCATTCTTCCCTGTAGGTATACTAGTTCCAACAGACTTAGGCGCCGAGCCGATGACTTCCTCGTCAGTACGATTGACCTGGCAGCCACCATGCCAGACCACCAATCTCTCGAACCAGTATCTTGTCACCGTCTACCATGGCACCCACAACAAGACCTATACGGTGCAGACGCTGGAGCTCAACGTAACTGACCTGAAGCCGCTGACCATTTACAATTTCACCGTGCAAGCAATCGGGAAGGATGGTGTCCCTGTTAGCAGTGCCGCCTTTGATTCCACCAGAACCCTACCCCACGGTA